GTTATTGGGGGGACAGATTATTACCACAGTGGGAGAGTCAGATATAGTCACCAACCGGAAATAATTTCAATGTTAGGTAAATGCTCAATTTGTTTTTTTATCAGGATTCTCTAGGACGAGAGGGGAACCCACAGGGAGCTAGTAAACTACTGGGGTCAATCTATGGTAAATACATTTTAGGTACACGCATTTATTGATTATAAATACATTAAAAATTCTATATTGCCAAATTTTGAACTAAAGTATTATTGGCGTTCCAATAACAAAACAAATTAATGTAGTACCGATCCGAAGGTTCCAGAAAAGATCATCTGACGCAGATATATTTTTATTAGGTGACCATGGATCCCCAAAATTCAGAGACCAGCTTGAATAACCATATCAACATATCTTTCTTAAAAAATCATTTCAAAAACCTATCCGGATCTTTCGGAAACTTTCGCGCTGATCGAACCCATTTTGACGGAGGACCCCTCGACACAGTGGAATTTAACAACTCGGAAGGCCTTCCAGAATTCAAAAAAACCTATCAGATCAAAATAATCCCCTACAGTCTTCTATTAGAAATCAAATTAAATCGCGTAACCAAACTCTGCCATCCAAATATACTCGCATATTACAATGTATGGACCACCTTGTTAAATAATTCGAACGATCCCTGGGAAGAAAAAGATGATACTAATTCCACAAAAATGGAAAAACGTCCCTTTCTTCTAATACAAATTGAATACTTCAGTGACCTTAATTTGGAAACCTTCCTGTCCTCCCGTCCTCCAGCCCAAAGTGCAGAAATCTTGTCAAAATATTACGCCCAAAACCAGCAAATCTTCACTCAATGCTTGGACGCCTTCGTATACCTCGAATTGGCGGGAATCGTCCATGGAAATTTGAAATTAGAAAACATCTTAATCCGCCCCGGGCTGGGGGAAGCTGTGGAGGTAAAACTTGCTGGTCTTGACAAGTTTACCGATGAAAATGACCTTGACACTGCGGATGACTTTATTTTACCCAGACAAGAATATTCTGTCGGAGAGCCTGCCCGCGATTCATACGCCTTGGCCATTGTCCTCATTTCGTTATTAGTGTGCCCAAAACAAAACGGAGAAAGTTTAGCTGAAGCTGTGGCGGAAGTCGTGCTTAGCCTGATTGATCCCAGAATCCTTGTCGGGCTGGAAAATTATTCCGTCGAATGCGACTGGATTTTGAAGATGACGAAGATAGCAAAATATTTGAGACCTAAGTTCTCCAAGGTAAAGAGTATGACCAACACGGTATCTGGATATAGGAAATTAGTCGATCGTGAGGCTCTTAAATCCAAAGTTGTACGAGTTGAAATTTTACTAAAAGCCGCAAGAAGAGTGGAATTGGACGAAAATCTGGACCGGGAATTCTATATTGGTGTTGAAGATTTTAAAGAAATTGACGAAGAGCTACAACCCTGGGCTTCGTCAAGTATTACAGAAATTAAATTTGCGGAACCCGAAGAACCTGAACTTATTCAGGAACAACTCCGACAACTTGAGGAAATCAAAGAAAGCAAAGAATTCGAGGATTTGGATTTACTAAATTCCTACCGAATTGAGGTGGAAAGTTCCTTAATTTCACTAAAACTTCAATCCATCACCGCAAACAGCCCACTCGATTTTAAAGCTCGCGCTGATCTGGAAATTTATTTGGCCAAGATAGAGCAAATTATTATCGCTCAGGTCAATATCCTTAAACTGTCGCCAACAATGGATTTGCAAGTGTTAAAAAATATCGTGACACAAGCTAAGATTTTGACGAGACTGGGACGAACAAGAGAAAGTAGGGAAAATTGGGATAAAGGACGGAGATTATTTTTCACGGTTGGCCTTGTCACTGAGAAACAGTGCAAGCTAAAGTTTGACCAAGGATTCCGGGAATTTCAAATGGCATTAGGGGAACGCGAAGACTTCATGATGGAGCGGCAACTTCGTTGGATAACTGTGAATGGGCGGCAGCTTAAATCGATCAAGACAAATATGAAGAGACATTTCTGCACCATGCTGCACGAAGGGGCTCCAGTGCTCGATATAAGTGACGACATGCTAATAGACAATTTGGTGTTGTTGAAAAATTGGGAGGGAGAAGACTCCCCTTGTTATAATTCAGTCTTGGAGCAGTTAGCTGCGGAAAATAGAGGTAAAGCTACAACGCTTATAGGGGTGTACATTTAACAAGACTTTGTTATTAATTAATCCAACAACGGAGTTATACAATTTTGCGCGTCTAGTATTTAAAATAATTTCTAATTTTAGGATGATGAATTTGATTTTTACAAATTGATTTATTTATTATTCGAGTACTAATCAAAGTCACGTAAGAGTTACTAATTAATTGTAACCAGACTTGCCATAGCTAAGCTAGCAATCTAAGTCAAGGAAGGTTGGAATTTACAAAACTAAAAGTTTATTTGTGATTTTCAGACAAATACAGACCTACTCCGGAACTACGGCAAGGTATATTTCCCTTGCATTCCCAGCAATCCGTTCTAAAGACGGATTTCAACCTCGACCAAGTACTGGGAGGCGGTGCGTACGGAAAAGTTTATAAAGGTATCAAACTTGCCAATACAGATGACAAATTCGACGTTGTCGAATTCACTGAAGGCTCACCCGAATTCATGAAAGAATTTGCCATCAAAATCATCCCGTTTGGAGAAATATCCGAAGCTACGCTGTCTCTCCACTTGATCCATCCCAATATTGCGTCAACCTACAACGTTTGGTCGGACGGTTACAATCCCGATCCCAGGTTTGAGTGTGCCTCCTCGTCATCAGCACTGGCGTCAACGTCGACCTCGTCATATGCGTCATCAGGCTCGTATCCCCACCCAAATCTCGACGATCCTAACAATTTTAAGTCTCTGAAAAATTTAGTCATCCAACAAGAACTATGTACAGGACGGACTTTACTCGATTTCCTGCAAAATCGAAATCCAACACCGGACGAACAAACTAAATCCACATATTATGCGGAAACCAAGCTAATCTTCCCCCAACTACTAGAGGCCTTAGTTTATCTTGAGGTAAAAGATATTGCTCACGGCGACTTGAAACCTGACAACATCATCATCACCGTCCTCAATGGAATGATAGTCCCCAAGATATTAGATTTCGGCAAGGCGAATCCCACTATACCATTTGCATTCGATGAATCGGACGATATTTTGAAGAGATCAGTCGAAAATAGACGAAGATACATAAGTCCGGAGCAGGGGAAGGTGGAAAATTCGGAAAGTTCTAACACTTTTGGGGCTAATCATAAAAGTAACGTGTACTCCTTGGGACTCATGTTGATTCCGATGTTGGTTCAGTTCAAATTCGTTTTCAACCAGAAAATCCAAGAACTGATATCAAGCGACCTTAATTTATGTATTCAAGAAGCTCGAAAAGTTGTACCGGAACGAAAATTTCCGAAGACCTTGGACTCATATCCCGCCGAATTCGAATGGATTCAGGCCATGCTAGACCACGATTACCATACACGACCGGCCGCATCAGAGGTTAAGTTGATGGTGCGGAAGTGCCTTGGGTATGGAACAGCTGTTCAAGAATCGATCAGTTCATCATCCGTCACAAATGTACACGCCATCCTGACCAAAGTGATCGAAGATTCTGCATCTACCTGCAAATACGAGACGATGAAAATCGAAAAGGAAATCAGAAAACCTATAACAAAACAAGGAGCTATTGAGGAATGTATTAGCAATGATTTGAAACGGTATGTGATCCAAAATCTGCATCAAATCGTACGAATCTTGAAGGCGGATGACGAAATTACGATCAATGCTTTCAGAAATGCTGTAAAAATGCGGCTATGTCCTACCAAGGATTTAAAATACTTGGTCCACCTGTACTTGTACAAGATTGAAGATGAATTGACGAAAAGTCACGAACTCTACCTAGAATTTGCCACCGTGCTTGGAGAAATTTCTAAAATTTCGAAACCTCCTATCGATCAAACAAAGCAATTCGTCGGAAATATGTTTGAAGCCGGGATAACCATGGACAACATGGTTTACCCAGACGTATTGGACGAAACGATGAGCACGAGGTCTCACTCCGGATTTTGGAGATTCACTTTAACGAAGCCTAAAAACCGCGAAGAAATTGAGACAGATTTGGGAAACCTTAGCACCGTAGATTTCTCGAAGGCTTCGGGTACCGAAGGGATGTTTCCAAAGGTCGACAACTTGTCGGCAAGATTGCGGATGCTGAACAAACTTGGTAGACGGGACGAAATGGGTGGGATTATTGAAGAAATTCACGACAGCTTGAACCTTGCAGAAATATATGACGAACTACATTCCACGCAGTTGCAAAATTCTTCGAAACTTCTGAAATCCTTGGGTATCAAGGATACGATGTCCCTAACGGAGGAGATAACGGAAGCGGAATCCATTTTAAAAGAGCTGGTTGGACCAGCTAACATGAAAAAGGAAGAGCTCATCTTTGTCAACCATTTGGGTTGCAAATGCACCCTGTGTCGGAGTATGACTGAAGAATCAAATAACCTGATGGCTACGAAGATGTTGGGATTGTCAGCGACTTTGGCTGAGGAAGATTTACTCATCGAGATGGGAGATATGGATGAATTGGATTAAATACTATTTAATTCCGGGATTTCATTAAGTTACTTAATAATAGTTTAATAAGAACATGCTTATCAAATTGAAAATTTTTGTGTTGGGGTATGTAATTCTTAAGAAAGGGTTTATTAAATACTGTTGAAATTATTATTAATGTACCTTTTATATATATAATGAACATAATTAAGGAGCATGTACCAAATTCTAAGAAATTTCGAATTTCTTGCAAAATATTTTGATTTGCGTGAATTTTCTTTATAATTGTACCTTTAAATTCACTTTTTTCTCTCTTTTAATTTGGAACATAAAGTCTGTGAAATAATTGTAATTTGCATAGGCAACAGGCCAATATGGAATGAATTGATTGATTGCTATATGTACATATAAGTAGCGTTATTGTGTAGATACTTTTATTGACATATTTCTACTTTGTCTTATTCTTCTACCCAATTCAGTAATCACATAGATTTATAGCATGGATGGTGTGTAATTCATAAATAGAAAATAAAACTATTCAAACAAGATTAAAATGGTTCCGAGAGGAGTGGGTGGTTTGGCCGAATGAGCAGTTTCCCCATTTCACTGTACTCTTATCCACACTGCAGTTATCCAATCCAAGTTTTACATGTGGCTTCGTAAATGTTGGAATTTTCTACAAATAAAAATAACAAAGAAAATTAAATTATAAATTTTACTTTTGAAAATGTGAGGTATTTAAATATCTCGTACCTTCTGCGGCTCAGTTTTTCTTTCTGAATTTGAAGCTCCCAAAAATTGATAATATTTGACCGTGTTGCCCGACATTTTCCAGCTTATCTTGCCAAATTTATTATACAGAAGTTCGATTTTTTTCGAAAAACCAAAATTATCTGAAGTTTTGGCAAAATTAACACCGTCTCCTCCTCAAAGTTGAAGTTTAACTGTGTAGATTTGTGACGTTGAAGGTGATACTTATTGTCTTACATGTACCACCTGTCAGCTTAGCATGTTTATTTTTTTATCACCTATTTCCAACAGGTGTTACACAATTAAGTATCTGGCCAGACACGGGAATTTCCTACAACAGGTTCGTGGCAAAAAAAGTGGAAGCCCCACACATCCATAGGTCAATGATGAACTTGCTCTATTAACTTTGAAATGAATTTTTTGTACGGAATTAATTAAATCCTAAGATTTGCATAAGTGTCATTACATACAAAGAATACAGTGTTCGTTACTGCGTAAATATTTATACTGGGTAACTCATTTATTTATATTATCTAAATAAGAAAAACTCAATCAGAGATTGACAATTCGGGGAATATGTAAATATGCAAATATTTACATAGGGAAATGTCATCGGATATTGTAGTACTAACTAATTTTTTCCAGTACAATAATTAACTTCACATGACGTAAAAATGGTTGCAATGAATGTTTAAGATATCTTCGAGTACACTCTAAATAATCTGGTAATAGGTTTTACCGTTCGGTTACTATATGTGACTCTACCATCATTGGTAAAATCTGCCACTCCGGTGGTGGTGGATTTTCGTGGTGGTGGCGCTATTCGTTACGGCGACAGCTATACTTGCTACCTCAGTGCACTGCAGTGGTAGAAAATAGCTCCACCACCACAAAAATCTACCACCACCGGAGTGGCAGATTTTACCAATGATGGTAGAGTCACATATAGTAACCGAACGGTAAAACCTATTACCAGATTATTTAGAGTGTAGGATCATATGTCCAATATGTACATGAGTGGCTATAAATTCTATAAAAAAATAATGCAGCATCTTGAAAGTATGATATTTGCGATGGTCTCAAGAATACCCCCAATATTTTAGGTATGGACATCTTTACATATTTAATGCATATTTTATGCATACATACCCAAGCAGCCAACTTGTCGTGGAACGTCTTAAAGGCATCCCTAGGATTTACGAATGTCCGCCGAAATGACGTCCTAGGGAGCTCCCCATGTTATATAAGCATTAGGATGTCAGAAAGACGACTTTTCGGCGGACATTCGTAAATCCTAGGGATGTCTTTAAGACGTCTCACGACGAGTTGGCTGCTTGGGTACGTGTATTACAAACCTGCCTTAAATTTCAAGTTGGGGTTTCACGTCACCCATTTCGCATATGTGTCGTATTTGCGAAATAATGTTACGATATTACTATTCTGGCTCTCGTGAATCCCCCCATTGATTCTTTCCGACACATAATCTGTGGCGGAGGGGATTATTATTCGTGAATTTATGCACGAATGAGGCATGTGTACAAAAATTGTGGTATATTGGCTGTCAAACTTTATGGAGATAATTAAACTTGACAATAAATGTAGGGTGTGCTCTTACTAAATTCATGAACCAGAGTGTGCAGGGGCAAAAAGGCATGCCTGCGAAAAAGTGCCTTTTTGCCTATCAGGCATGCTAAAAAACCCCTGCCTTTTTGCCTTTTTGCCGCTTTGTATAGTTAAGGTATACAAAAATCCAAACGGGCAAAAAGGCAAAAAGGCAAGCAAAAGGGCAAAAGCCCTAAAAAGGCACACACTTTTTCCCAAAAAGGCGTCTTTTTGCACTCTGTCATGAACCAGATATTAACTAATTGGTATTTTATTCATATTGCGCAATGATATCAGCCACAAGTCGCTCACTTGAACTTAAACCTATAATCCGGACACGTCAACTTGTTAAATTGCTAATCTAATCTATTTATTATCCATTTACAAGAAATTATTCAGTAACAAACTCTTGAATTATTTGCAATATCATGGAATGCCTCACTTATTTTCCACAACTATCCGGCGCCCATGGCACTTCCGGTAAGTCATCAACTTGCAACCCTCTGGTAAAATTGGTTGTCCCTTGTGCACCTTCATCCAGGTAGCGGATGTTATCCATATCCGCGAACTCTAAGGTAAGATTTGACATGCCAAGTTGATTGGTCCAGCTCATCATCCAAAAATCCGAATCCCACTCGGAAATAGAGAACGTCGACTCTGATATTTGTTCCAGCCATGCCAATTCCCATTTACCATATTCCCATTAAAGTTGTGGGATTCCAGCCGAGTTGTTTTTGAAGTAAATGGTCATCTCACCTATTAAAGAAATATATTTAAAATAACCATTGTAGTTAAAAACAATTAATTACTACAATTAAAAAAATAATTAATTAAAAAAAGCCTTTTCCAGATTATTCTGGTTTACTTACCATTAAATCCGCTTCCATACGAACCGACAGCTTCTTCCGGAGAAATTCTGACTTTACTTGGAAGTGGTTCACTTCCGGTTTGAGTTGGAAATAAATTTGCAACCGGTTGTAAATCAAGTGGGGGAGATACTGAAACTCTATTGGTTAATATATTGTCCAAAGTGTGAGTACCCGGGGTTTCTGAGCCTATTAGTGTATTTTTTGCAATTTAAGTAATTAATTAGTGATATATCGTCGGCCTAATATTAAAATGAGCTAAGTGATCAAGTGGTCAAATTTTAAAATGAGCTAAATGACTTCGTTGCCTAATTTTAAAATGAGCTAAGTGCAGCCATTTAACATTGTATTTGCATTCACTTAGCTCATTTTAAAATTCGGCAACGAAGTCATTTAGCTCATTTTAGAATTAGACAACTTGTGCACTTAGCTCATTTTAGCATTAGGTCGACGATATTTAATGTCTTTACTAATGTGATAATTATGCACCTCGCAGTATCTCAAAGATCTCCGCATTTATCCAAGAGTTTGGCATTGAAGTGGCGTATAAAGTACCCGGACCACTCATAGCCATAAATATCCCAAGACCCAATTCCGGATATAGCGTCATCAAACTTTCGAAAAGGGGAAGATATCCGCCATGCCCTATTCTGAGCCACCCGTCGTAAATTCCTATATCTAGACAGAGACCGTAGGCAATATTTAAATTTACAATTGCATCCGGGTTACTTTCGGATTTTATAGTTCCATAAGGCGTTAGGGTGGATGCGGTGTACAACCAATTCATGACGTCCTAAATATTTAAACAAAGTATTGAATTATGATAATTATTCAATATCAATTACTTAACATTGATATGTACTGTCTGTCCATTATGGATTGAGCGTTGAGGCAAATTGAGAATTCTTCAAAACTATTTCCTTACTGTCTCAACTTTCCCCACCTGTATTCTAATTATATCGGTAGGGAAAATTGTTACTGCCAGGGGCGTAGTTTTGAAGAATTCTCAATTTGCCTCAATCCGTAATGGACAGACAGTAATTGCATTTTTACCGCAGGTATGATTTGCGTGTTCCCAACTTTTCCGAGATTTAAATGAAATTGCATATATTTCGTCATGTCGCTCGCGGAACTTAAAATACCTCCGGCAGCGTTGACAAGGACGACACCTCTTTAATAACAGTCATAATATTAAGAATTATGCATTTCGGATTTAAATTATTACGGCCTTTTCTAATAATTTGTAGTAAGCTAACTTCATCAGTTCCGGATTGTATCGCTGTAATTGACCATCTTTCCAGTAGTATGGGACGGCTCGTAGCATCATGTTGTTGTGATCGTCACTTTCTTTGACCCAGGTTGTACTGTTCATCCCAATTGAGAGAAGCAGATCAGATAACTAAACATTTGCGACAACGATTTTAATGTGCAATAAATATGTGAACAACAAAACTACAGTCTGCCCACTTTGGATTGAAAGTTGAAGGAAATTGAGAATTCTTCGAAACTATGCTTCTTGCTGTATCAACTTTCCCCACGTGCATCTTAATTATACCGGTGGGGAAAATTGAAACGGGAAGGTACGTAGTTTCAAAGAATTCTCAATTTGCCTCAATGTTCAATCCAAATTGGACAAGGAGTACGTACCAACTCTTCATAAGTAGAATTTGCCATATGTGCAATTATATCACCAGCGATAGCGATAAGTCCGTTGTTGTAGAGATAAGCATTTCTGAATGAGCAGTAATTGTACGCGTATCTTTGCCGACTAAATAAAAACGAAAAATTAACCAGTCCAAATTAACATAATTTAAATACAAATTAAATGTTTTTTTAAATATTTTTCTTACTAAAAGAAATCTTTAGAATCCGTATAAGTCTGGACCCACATTCCCGTATATTCTGGGAGATAACACACCCTGTGAGCCAGAAGGTCACGGAAGGTCACGGCCTCTGATCTGTATCTGTCTCCAAGCACGAAATCGTAACTTGGTGCCAGAGCTCGAATTGGCGTGTCCAGTACAAGTTGCCCCAGTTCGGGGAATCTCTCGCTCAGGAATTTCACCGTAATCATGGCCGTAAAACTTTTTGTTATAGATCCGATTGAAAAGAGAGAGTCGCTATCGGCGGGTAGTCCATTTTCCCGGTCTCTTTCTCCATATCCGGTTTTGTAAAGGAGTTCTCCATTGTTTTTAATGATTGACAGGACGAATGCTGGAACGTGCTGTTGATCAATAACTGAAGAGATGAGAGAATCGATGCGCTGTTGTGTTTCTGGGGGAATAACATTTTGTGAGGAGGCTAGTGGAATAAAGATTAAGGGGATAAGTAGAATAAGAGTTGCCGCTACTTTGGAGATAATCATTGTTCAGAAAGTTAAAGGGTTAGTTAGGAAATTTAGTGGGTGATTAATGTTGAAGGTAAAGTTGACTTTAATTGATTCTGTTGATTTACACTTCCTTATAAAGAGCATGATGAGCGCTTATCAATCTCTGTTGCGGAATATTGATTGTTCTGTAAATTGAGTTTAGATAAAGCACACATACTGGAGGATGGTATGTAGATTGTGTCACATTGATGTTTAATATGTACCTCAAACTGTAAATGGGACGAAATACATAACAGCTTTTAATTAGCTGATAACAATTTACACCTGAACACACAAAGAATGTTTGTGAGTATCGTTTATTTAAGGTACCTTAGTTAGGACGAGTTTATCTGCAATGACCCAAACTATTCCACTTTGTCGGCATCTTGAATGAAAGGGTTTGTATGTTCTGCTATGTGTTGGGGGGTTGGACCACACACTTATCGAGATCCTAACCCTCAACTTATCACACTAAAGCCTAATTGCCGACTCTTAATTGCATAATTGTGCAATGAATATATGACACTACCGTCACCAGAAGTCTCCGCCAAGCTGTTACTATCGTTGGTAACATGTGTCACAGAATGAGAACAATAATTTCCACGAAATTCAAACTTGTTTCCTTCTAGTAACAAATTTTAAACTGGACGGTAACGTATTTGAATTTCAAAGTATGTAACGAATGCATAAGGTACATAATCGAAACGTCGGTGGGTACGAGAGTGAGAAAGTTTAGCTCCATTTTCTCAGAAGGATGGCAAAGTTCATAACTATACTGTGCCTATGTGGATAAGGCAATAACATTGTGCTCATGAGTCACAACACTGTCCATAAAACTATTTGTTGCACGTATGTAAACAGAATTCCATGGATGACTTTTATGTAAACAGAATTCCCAAGATTATGCAAGTAAAGCTTGGACTCTGGGAATTTCAGACGGCATCAGAATTGTTTTCAATTTCTTAAGTAGTTCTAGTTCTAGAATTTTTCAAAACTTTCCTATTAACCTGAAATTTGGCATGGTGGGAAATGACTTCTGGGTATAAAATATGAAGTTCTAATTCATACGAAAATACTGAGCTGCAAATATATGACCCCTACTAGGCTTGACATTTTATAAAATGCATACGATAAATCAAAATTTGCTGACGAATAGAATAGGACTGCTCTCGTGAGGTTTTAATTTCATTTTTGCGCACTTTTTGCAAATTATCCAAAAATTGTCGGAACTTTCTGCCTCTCCGCGACAGGGTATAATCATATCAAATATATTGTGTAGGATTCAAAATAGTGGAATATTCAATTTTTGCAAAAATCCATGCAAGAATTTGCCCGTTAATTTATGTATATCATCTCCACCTACCCCATCCATTGAGGCAAATAATCCTTTCAAACCATCAACACAGGTTAATTTTGCACTGGAATTTTCATCCTGATTTTGTTACCATTTTGACATCAAAATTCGCAATATTGTACTATAAGTTATAGTCTATAATCGTAATAAATAATTACAGTAGGACAATAAAGTTTGAAATAATTAAGCCAAATGTATCTTCATCAAGTGGTGGTGGTCAGTGACGAGAATGAAAATTCTCTCAATTTTTGTGTGAAAGACAAATTATAACTTTGACATCGTTAAATGTCCGTGACATATTTTCATATAGTTCAATTATTTCAGATTATAAATGGTTGACCCCACCCTTGTCTTGATAAGGAAAGCAAGGTGAAATATACTAAGTAAAGGTTTAAGTTTTTATTAAAAAACGCTGTTTATTTGCACGAAAACTGTGCAAATAAATACTGGGTTCTCTCTATTTATTTCCAGGTCACAAAACTTGACCCCTCGCCCCTACTCCTCTCTCTAATAAAACCTAGTCGTCATGAGACCGAGACGTCGCCCGCCTTCGACACGTAAAAAGTCCACCCCACCGCCCCAACCAGATGACGAATCTAACCCCATCCTAGACTTTGAAGCTGACGAAGTCCACGTCAAAATTGAATTTTCTTCCTCCTCCTCCTCCTCCGACGATGACGACCTCGACTCTCTCGACAAATGGATAATCAACCCCGTCGCGCAAGATGGGGACGATTCTGACTACGTCGCCCCCAGTTGCGACCCACTCGCGACATCCTCCGACTCCGACGATTCCTCCTCCCAGTCCTCCCCACCGGAAACAACCGTAAAACGCCGCGTGAGAAAATGGACCCGTCGCGATCCCCCCATCACGCCGCGAGAACGGGCCAGACTCTACCGCGAAAGCCTCACGCCCGAAGAACGCGCCGCTTTCAACGCTCGCGTCGCCGCCTCCGCAAAGAAAGCGCCGCCTCGCCATTAAAGCCGCCGGTCCCGATGATGATCGCGCCCGGAAAGAGAAAGAGCGAAAACGTCGCGCCCGCGAGAGGGAAACCCCTCTCGAACGAGAAGCTCGCCTCCAACGCAGTCGCGACGGGAAACGTCGCCGTCGAGAGGAATTCCTCGCCTCGGTCGAAACCCAGGTCACCACCCTCACTCAATCCGACACCGAATCTGGCGAACAATTCGCCCTCCGCCAATCCCAGTTGCGCCAATCCCTCCTCGACGCGAACAAACGGCCTCCGCGACCATCTCGAAGTAAACTCCCACCGGAACTAAGAAGAAAGAAACGTCCCATCGAAGAGGTCATCGCGACCCGGCGTGCCCTCTGTAAACTCCGCACCGCCAACTTTACTCCGGAACAGAGGGAGAAGCGCAGAGTCAGGATGCGCGCCCTGGTGGCGAAAAAGAGAGAAATGCAGCGCCGAGAGTTGGACTTGTTCAACGAACTAAAGACCAACGTTGTCAACCGGCCCAGCGCCAGGGAGATTGTGGAGTATTGGATAAGCAAGGTCAAAGCGACCAACGTGCCAGATGCCGCGAAAGAATGGCGAATCGCCGTCTTGGCCTTGGTCAAAGGGGGCGAGGCCGGAGGGTTGGCGACATTTGAGCAAGATTCGACAAAGATGGGCGTCGTGGAAAGTTTTTTCATGGGGCGGGTCGACTATGACCGCGCCGTCACGAGGAAGCACCACCAGGCAACGAGGGAGGCGAGGAAGGCGATGACGGAGGAGGAGCGGGCGGCAGAGAGGCGGAGAGTGAGGGCGGAATTGACGAAGGAGCAGAAGAAGAGGAATGCCGAGAGGGCGAACAAGTGGCAGAAGAAGAAGCGAGCGGCGGCACGCGCGGCGAGGGGACTTGATCAGGGGGAGGAGGAAGAAGAGCAGAGGGGGATGACGACGAGGAAAATGTCCAGTAATCGAGGGAGGGGAAAGAAGACTGACGTGGCGATAGGACGAGAAGATCACGGTGGTGGTGGGGGAGATGACAGTTTGGTTAGTTAATGGGCTACATTTTAATGAATTTCCACTAATTTTGGAATTAATTGCAGGCGACCCTGAGTAGTCATGGTTCCTCTGATTCGACGACGAGCAGGACTGATTCTGGTGGTGGGGATGATGATGAAAGTATGAAAGATTCTTCGCACCAAATTTCGGTACGAATTATCAGTAAAATATTTAATATGTAAATTATTGCATTAATTGCGATGCTTAACTCGTAATTTTGCTTTTCAGAATCCGCCCAACATTGACCCCTACGCTCTTCGGGATACAAGTTTAGGAGACTTGTTAAATTTTGAGAACATCTTCCCCGCACCACCACCTCCACCAACTCTTATCGAATCCAGCTCAACCTTCGTTGAAGAAGACGTCGAAGAGTTTACACCAGCGGATTTTGTCAACGAGCACCCGATGCAACATCCACCTGCCAATGATGTGAAAGTAGAAGTGATCGAAATTCAGGAAGACGACGATGACCTTCCTGATGTTTCCTCATGTATCTCTCCACCACCCAGAGAGGAAATTATTACACGAAGAAGAAATTTAGCAACAAATCGACCCACTCTTTATCACTATATGAATAAAATCCCCCCTACTCTTCCTGTCCCCACCAGTACAAGTCTTGACCAAGTGGACAAGCTCACCCTGACCCCCGTGGTATTGTTGGAACGATGTGATAATACCGACCCCCCGATCAAACCTCGCTATTCCACTATTTCGCCAAGTCGGACCACCAATAAATAAATAAAATCAGTTTTAACTACTCATTAATTAAGAAATAAAGACTGATTAAAATTTAAGTAATTAATTATAAAGTTAATTAAACAATTTTGCAAACAATTCCTTAAATTTCTGAACTCACATGAAATTCTTACGTGATGAAAACAAAGATTTTCACCCAAAGGCTCAATCACATCCAACGTTGCGACAAAAATCCGAAATAACAATGGCTTTTACGGTAATAAAACTTAATTAAAATGCCCAAACTCTTAAATATTATAATTAAAATTAGTAATAATCCCCAATTAGCTAATTAACATCTCCATTAACCACATCATTCTCCGCCACATGCTACCTGGACGCTCCCCCATGCTCGGAGCAACCCGCAACTTCCCTCCACCACCTCCACCACCGCTCAACCCAAAGTCTGGAGAAGCAAGTCAACAGCCAAAAACCTCCACATACACAAAAATCATAAATATTTTGATAATTAAGTATCCCCTCCACAATTACGTAGTTATCAGTGGTGGAGATAAAGATAGTACTTATCTTGAGAGGTGGTGTGGAAGAAAGAGTTATAAAAGTCGCTGCGCCGGGTGGAAAAAGGTGAGAAAAATGTTATGTTTACGTCAAAAATTAGCAATTTTGCTCAATTTTAACGGAATTGTGGGAGGAGGCGGGGGTAAGAAGTAATTTATTAAATTAGGACAAGGTCAAGGTGAAGGACCTTAATTTTGGCAGGCCAGGGTAGGGACAGTGGTGAGAAGGTAGTAAGTTATAAATATTTAAGATGAACCGGTCATGAAAACAAAAAGTTTGACCTGATTCTTACCAATTTAATTTAACTCAGTAATTAATTAACTATTCCAGGAGTAAATCCCATTTATAGTTCCCCCTACTGCCGCTCCCACATCCGAATGGATGGTGACGAATCCCGGCGAAGAAGAATGATTATCCAACCTGCCAACTTATCGTAGTCATAGCGACAAGTCCTCCACCGCACTCAAGGAAAATGGGGACGGGACGGACGTGCGAAGTCTGCTCTGAGCTTGCCTCCCTCCTCTCGTCGTGTAAGTTAAACATTATTTTACCCCCCACATAACTTTCTTCCCCCATAAACAAAATGCGCTAATTTTCCCCTTCTTTCAGACGATGGGAAGCGGACCACCCTCACTTCCTTCGAGGACATCACCATTTCCCGTGAAGAAGTGGAGACCATCATCCTCTACCTGTCGTCCTGGTCACAACGCCAATGCTCCTGCTGCTTCCGGTCGGATCACAAACACTTCGAGCGATTCAACTGGGCCCTCCAACTCTTAATTTTGATCGTGGTCGAAATCGTGCAGAGATTTGGAACCAGTCCCCCCTCCAGTCAAGAATCCTCCTCCTCTACATCATCCCGACCATTGTGGGATTGCGAGGACAAGGACAAATTGGTCTACTTCGTGGCGAAATTATTCACAAATTCCTTCCCGACCTATATCGGATACAAAACGCATTCCGGGGCAGGCATCAAACTCTCCGACTCTGAACTCTCGGCGGCCGAGTTGCATAATTTGTCGCAATATTGCGAAATCAACGAGCCTGAGGCGTCTCCTTATCTGTTCCGAAATGTTGGCCTGTTCTGCCGCGCGGGGGGCATGGAGGCGTTGACGGTCTGTCTGCAGAACAACACGCCAGACTCGCTCGCCCTCCACAGGATGAACATGCTCGTCGCGTTGGCCTCAAATGTCAAATCCTGGCTCAACTTCAACGCCCTGCTCAAACTCTATGTCCCCTTCAGGGCCGCGGCACTCGGATATATGTGCTCCTTGGTCGAGACGGAGTTGAAGACGGGGTCGGCGAGAAATATGGCGGGTGAGTGAGGGGTCAAGGTTTAGGTCAAATTATGGATTAACAACGCTGGAAAATGTTCCCTCCATATCTCCCTATAGTGGGAAGAACAGTAGGAAATTTAACTATGGCGCAAATGGAAAGAACATTTGATAACCGCCATAGTTAAAAGTGGGAAGAACATTTCAAAATTTTTGGAACATTTTCCAGCGTTGTGGATTAATTTAGAATTTTGGGTTACATCCTGCCAATTTTGTCGCCATTATTCGCCATTTTCTTGTCGAATTTGGCCCTTAATTTCTCCCCATTTTTTTCCAGAATGCATCTGGTCCTCGGTCAAAGACCCCGTCGACGTGCACCTCTCCTTCGACAAGGACGGTCTCGACCTCGCCTTCCGCTACTTCCTCTGCCCCACGCTCACCATGCGCCTCGCCGGCGTGAACCAGCTCAACAACTACATCAACCTCTTCAACGAGCTGCTCAACTCGGAGCACATGCGGGACCCGGACCGTCTCTACGACTCCCTCTGCGCCTGGCTCCTCACGAAGCAAGTCGTCGAGCACATCTTCGGCCCCAACTTGCACGTCGAGGTGATCAAGCAGAGCCACACGATCTTGTCCTTCCTCGCCATGGAGAACAGACTGACGGAGGAGCACGTGGAAATAATCTGGACCGCGGCGCAGCTCAAACACTGCTCCAAACCGGTCTTTGACGTCCTGTCGTCCCTCATTCCGCACATGGAACCCGGCCCAGTGCTGCATTTGCACCACTTGTTGCAGAAATTGGAGCCGAAAGATCACTCGGAGCAGGTGAGTGGTTAAATAGTTAGATAATTGTCTAATTAATTAATTAATGTTTGTATTTGTCCAGAGTCTCTACCTGGCCTCCGCCCTCATCAAATTTATCTGGACGAACGCCACCTCCGCGATGGAGGAGGCCAACGCTTTGACGACATCCCTCCCCCTCGGGAGTGGGGACAGCGTCGTCTCCGTCCCGACCTCGTCATCCTCCCCGTCGAACAACAATTTACAGTTTCACCACGCCCGGGCCGACCGGCGCCATCATCACCACCACCACCAGAGAGGGAGGCGGCGACCGATCGTCGCGGATGTGTCGTCGAGCGAGAATTCCGTCAGTGTGGACGGCTCGGAGGAGGAAGATGAGGAAAATCACCACCACCACCATCGAAGACATCACCACCGCGTGCAGGCGCAGCGGCTGTTGCGTCCCTTGTCACAGGTCGGTCAAGGTCGCGGAGATGGTGAAATAAGGTCAAAGGTTAATTTATTCTTTGGTTAGCTGAAACAGATGGAAACCGACGACGAGGAGGAGGAACCGCTCTCGCCAACGTCGTCCTTCCTCAAACCGACGTGCCACCTGTCCGGCTCGTCCTCGTCGGATGAGTCGCTATCCGACGAGGAGGACGAGGATGAGGACGACGACGGGATTCGGAGTGAGAAGGGGGGTTGTTCCTCCGGCGGGGGTGGGGGTGGTGGATCCACGCCCTACGTGGAAACACACTCCGACTCGGATGCTGACGAGGATGAGCCGGAGAACGAGGTTCTGGGGGGTAAGATCATCATAAAGAAGCGAAAGGTGCTGAGGAGGAAGGCCAACACGCCGGTGAAGAATGTCGCCCCCACCAAGGGGAGGGTGATCATGACGCCGTCGTCGACGCCACGAGTGACGAAAATGGTGCAGAGTAACAAATCTGTGAGCAATACGTCTAGTCAGGGTCAAGGTGAGGTCAAGATAGAAGAGGGAAATGGGGGGAATTTTACGTATTTTTTGTATTCTAGGTGACCAGAAACTCCAACAAGTCCCCGATCCGTCGCCCTCGACCTCAACCGACGCTGTCGTGCCAACCTCTAAGACGCCCATGACGATCTATTACCCCTTGTCGGGGACGACATGTGAAGTGTCCGACGGCTCGTACTCCTCCCGGATATCGACCAAATCGGACAAAAATATGGCCGATTTCGACGGTGAAGAGTCTCCCCAGGAACACGTCGACCTCATGGCGTCCCTCACATAGAGTCAGCTTGTCGAAATAGCCACCCGTGGTCAGAATCTGAACCTCACGCCGCAACAACTCCAACCCCAATACGTCCAACAGCAACTCCTCGATCCCAACATTGTCCTCACCGTGGGCGGAGTGCAGATTGGGGGGAGTAACAATGGCAGAAATAAGACTCAACTCGGTCCTGGAAGTGGGGGAGGTGGGGGGTCGACGACGTTACTCCTCCCACCTCGCGCCATGCGGATGTTCTTCCGGAGAAAGAGATTTGGATCCATGGCGACGTTTAATTTCAAAATTGACGACGTCATCGAACCAGGCGTCACACTTTTGTGGGATTTGATCCAGGATGATAAAATTGTGAGCAGGATAATTTAACTAATTAATTAACGATTGGTCAATAATTATGCAAATTATTCAGGTCCAACTGTCCGACGGGTTGGCCATCGAGGCGCAAAAGGCGCTCACCAATCTCCTCTGTTTCGGTGCGGACAAGGCCATCCGCCTGAAATTTATTGAAGGCTGCATCCGCAACGTCGGTCGCTGAGGCGGTCGTCGTGTCGCTGAGGATCTTGCCAAAATTGTTGTCCTCCTTCAACAACGTGAACCAGATGCGGCTACCCAGTGTGGGAGGAGATTCTCATCAGGTGGGTGGATGGATAACTTATCCAGGATAAGAATGAGTTGGTTGTGGGAATGAGTATCTAATTGTCGCATTTTTGCGAAGATCTTAAACTCGAGAGATAGTCTTGTTATCTATAGTGGGCATCGGGGGGATAAAGTTGGTCGGGGTGAAGCCGTCCAAACTGAGGAGATCGATGTCCAGCCACCCCTCGACGAAGTAGCAGACGGAATAGTCCGCATCGAAATATTGTAGGTGGTCGACGATGGTGTAAATTGGTCCGAGGGAGTTGGAACAGGTTGGGTCTTCGTAGACCGCTTTGGAACAGAAGATTGTGTCATTGCCGTTGATCCAAACTTCTTGGCCGTGGTGGATGTAGTTGACGCCGAGGAAGGCGTTCAAGAATCCGAAGGCCGTAACGGGTGGGAAGTGGGGGATGATGTCGGCTCTAGAGTTGGAAATTGGGTTTTTTAGGAAGTTATGAAGGTAGATGTGGTCGGTATAACTTTAAAATGAGCTAACTTACTGGTTTGGTTAGTTTTAAAATGGGCTAAGGGACTTATTTGCTTAATTTTAAATGAGCTACGTGATGTGGTTACTTTTAAATTGAGCTAAGTGAATTCTTTGTCTAATTTTAAAATGAGTTGAGTGACTTGTTCGCTTAATTTTAAAATGAGCTAAGTGACTTGTTCGATTAATTTTTAAATGAGCTATGTTACTTTTGCTTAATTTTAAAATGAGCTATGTGACTTGTTCGCTTAATTTTAAAATGAGTTAAGTGACTTGTTCGATTAATTTTAAAACGAGCTATGTGACTTTTGCTGAATTTTAAAATGAGCTATGTGACTTTTGCTTAATTTTAAAATGAGCTATGTGACTTGTTCGCTTAATTTTAAAATGAGCTAAATGCTGCCTTTTAACATTGTATTTACATGTACTTAGCTCATTTAAAAATTAACCGACCATCTCTCATTTTACAAAAAAAGTTAAAAATTGTGCAAATTTCTTAAAATCCACATTTACCTGGCGACAACTCTGTTCGTCGGGATGAATAAAGCATTCATATAATTGGCATACGCCTCATTGCCCGTTCTCGGCTGGCCAAAAGTTGCCAGAGTGAAATCCATCGTCGGAAACTGTCGTAGCGTTGTCAAGAGGAAGACGAGAAGTGACGCCATCGCTCCCCTAGAACTGTGACCAGTTATGACGACGTGAAAGCTGGGATTTGCTGCGTGGAAGAGTCCAAGTTGCCTGACAACCTGGACGAAAATAGATTTCCAGAAATTAAACATCTAAAGCAAGAGTCTTCATAAATATTTTTCATAATCACAGATTTTGGGGGATGACACCTCTTTATTTCGATCTCGAGGTAATGTGGGAACCGAAATTTTCACAAAGCTTTAAATAAATTCGTAATTACAATTTCCATAGTTTAAATTTCAATCAATTTTTCAATTTCAATAAATAATTTATTTTAAGAAAAATAAAACCGAAATGGAAAATATGGAGGATTCCAACTACACGAAGTCAACTGGGCACCATATGATTCTCCGCTGGGTGAACAATAAGCTTTTTACAACGAAGAAACTCTTCATGGTCGATGTGGATCCAGAAGATACCTTTTACCCTAGAAAAAGTTACATTTGCCAATTTCCCAGAGCTAGTGAATGTCACATACATAGCGTAGAGGGTGAGATTAAACTAAAAAATTTGAAAATTTTGCTACATATAATTTTTAGTCGAACTGGGTTCTGGGATGTTTGTGTGATTTGAATATAATTCCAAAATACGATATATCAACATGCAATTGTGAGTAAAAAATTGTTGAATATTCATATCTTATCAAGAACAACACGCCCGCGAGCTCATCGCCGGGAAGGACGAACCATACATCATGGGGTACTTTGAAAGCCGTGAACTTGATGTAGTTAGCAACATCTTGCAAGTAAAATTAGCAATTACGTATTTAATAATTTTTTTGGTTATGCAGGAAAATTAAAAGTGTTTATCTATTCCAGTTCAACTACACAGATGCATTAAAATTCTGTCAGGACAGAGATATGAATTTGCTGGACATGAGGATAACGGCAGCTAATGCAGAGGAGTTGTTCGAACAATTCAATAACTTTGGAGGTAATTTCGATATAATTTGTAATGTTGAACCCAGACTGAATTTTTGTTACCTTTTACAGGTGGGATGTCAGGATTTTGGATAGATTCTAATGATTTGTTTCGCCATGACCCAGATTTTGTGTGGCCATCTCCACAATATTTGTCTCAATTTCCTCGCACTCCTCACCACCACCATCACAATCTCTCTGTCTCACCACCACTTACGTATTTTTATCCACTCCAACACTTTGAGACGGACATACTCCACAAATTATTGTTATTCCTCCCCACAATTCCCACCGGAACTCGGACCACTTTCCAAACATGGGACGACACCCTTACTCACTCCCTCGAGACCGTCGTGTTGTTCTTATTTTGACACCCAATTTCCGCCGTGATTTTCTATTTTTATTCATCCACTCTAATCACCAAATAATTTCCGCGGTTTCCTCCCGGGTATTATTTTTTCTCCCTGCTTACCACACTGCCCAGTCCAGGCCGTGTTGACTGACTGAGGAGGAACGTCGGAAAAAGTGACATCATACTAATACTAGAGCGCTCATTCATTCATTCCACGACTGTCAACCTCTGGACGGGAAACATGTGTCGCAGAAATACATAATCACTTCGCCCTCCTAATGAAATAATGACGAGGACCAAGTAGTCGTCCTACCAGTCAGCACTCGCCTCCGACTGTGTAGTTGAGGGTGGTAGGCAGTCTGTGCGGGGTGTGCCCAGAATTAAGTTTACGCAACCATCCCAAACTGGCGACCCTGCACGGTATGGATAGATAATCAGTCCTTTGTATGTACCTTGCCCGGTCATTACTCAAAAATTCTGTTGGTCTCTCTCCGCATCTGGTGGGGGACGCAAAAGTTGTGCCTCATTTACTCGACCGAAAATTTCTCAAAAATCCGACGACTAGAATATTGGTTGGAGGCATGATTCCAATTCTTTCGATTGGTGGTGGGTGACATTGACATCTCTTTTGTGCCGGGGAAAAAGACCCAAAATCGAGACAAATGACTCCGAGAACCCCACAAAAGAATCGGTATGAATGAAATCGAGCCAGAAAAAATCCACCTGGACGGCCGACCAATATCCAAAATATCGATGGGTGTAATTGCGTGTTCTTTTTAATTTCAATTCGATCCAGTCTCAATCCTTCCCCGAATGCCCTCATTTTTTATCCCACCAACCACCACGACTCTTTAATGAACGGAAATGAGTGGAATCTTGTCCTTAATTAAAAAGAGCTCCCATGCTGCTGCTCCTTCTTCAGTCATAGCGTGTTCGCCGTCTATATTTAGTTCCCGTCTAGCAGAGAGATCTCCCAGAAAGTAGAACTTGTCAAAACAAAAAGGGGTCCTTTAACCACCGCTCCTAATAATCCACCCCATATGGACTCCCGACCACTCCAGATGACAAGAGGAGGATGAAATCCTATAATAAATCGACCCAGAACGTGCATTTTGTGGGAGATTATGTATTTCTAGCAGAATTTTATTTTCGGGAGAAATTCTAATTTTTTACAAATCCAGCCATGAATGAATACTTTCTTGATCCGTCTCCTTAACCCGACACATGTTCGTCACATTTATTTCGAGATTGCAATGGGTGCTGAGATTTGGGTTGGAGGAGCGAGATAAATTACTTCCTTCCTCCTCTCGAGCGACATTGTTGCCCCAATTGTCACGTCGCAGGATAATCAATTCTTCTCAGAGTAATGCGAGGTGACGACTTTAGAAGAAAAGTACTAATGCAGCGAGATGTTTACTTGTTTACGGCTTCGAGGAGAGTAAAACATGGCTAAAAAATGCGGATCTGATCCTTCCTTTGAACATTCTTGAGCAGAGTCAAAACAAGGCTGTAAATTAAGACTAGGAAACAAAATTGGAAGCGCTTTTAATTCGTGGTGATAGGTCTAATAAATTTGACGAACAAGCTGATCTAAAACAAATTTTGTAATTAATAAAAGTTCTAAATTGTATAATACGGCGTTGAACTAAGTCATTTTATAATTTGTATTATCATAAAATGCGTATTACCCATTACCCGTCAATTGTAATAGTTTATCAAATATCAAGCATGATAAAAAATATCAAGAAAATGCGCCTCAAATTTTATACGCAAAATTATACCAATTAATTTACTCATCCAGGAATCAAACCTATTCACACCAAAAATTTAGGTAATTTTTACAATTTATAAAATAGGACGCCAAGCCATGTCTACCAAATATTATGAGTTGTACTTTACTATTTCAAAAATGGTTCATCGTCATGTGCAAATTTTATGGAACATTTCTTTTCTCCCTTTAAAAAAATCTCATCTGGATAATTTATCCGAAATCTGTCTTTCCTTCTACTCACTCACTCACTGAAATATTCGACCCCCTCCACAATCTGGACATTGTCAGATCATCAGGGCATAAAAATAAATTTCGCATCATCATAACTTGCCCATCTCCTCATCTTCATCTTCTTATCATCACAGCAAAGTCATAAATATTTGGGAAATGGGTCCCAAACGAAAGACAGAGTGCATCACGGACTAAGTAAACAAGGTCGTAATTCCCCACTGGCCGTCCACGAAGGATGTCCACCATTTCCACTGTTTTTAGCACCCCTCATGCTCGATGCAAATATTCGAGTCGATGCCATCTCCTGTGAATGTCCCCTCCAATAAAAATCCAGCATTTTCATTGAACACGATTTACAAGGTTTGAAATCCTCAAATTTTACAGTCATTGCCAGGGTCGTAGGATTTTCAAATTAATTTTACGACCATATTTTGGTCAACATGACCCATGTTACGCAACAAAGTGATGTAAAGGTGACGAGGAAATAGTTAAGGAGTGGAGAAAAAAGGGCTCATTTTCTGCCGAGGTGTTAACTCGCCCTGTCGTAAAAATTTGGGTGGACAACATTTCCCATTAAAAATGTTGTAAAACACTTTTATTACGAGAGCCTAGATCTTGTTTACGGGCAGATTTTCGTCATCTTTTTCTCGTTTTATTGGCCAGTTTATTTTATTATGTTTTTTTTCTCTCGTCAATTTTTCACAGGATCTCAGTTAGTCGAGACCTGACTGTGACCATGGTTGGTTGGAGCAGTAATTTTTAGTTCAAAGTAAATTTCTATCAGAAATTTTGCCATTGATTCCTTTAATTTCTAGAGAAATCTAGACTGCTTTTGTGAAAAAGTTAAAAAAAAGGATACAATTTCGTAGTGCCGCGCAATTTGTGGCTTTGGGTGGTTAGTGTAATTAATATCACAATTTTGTGATGGCATATCTAGCATGCGTAAAAATAAATTGTTTGACGCTACTTGTGAAGTTTTTATAAAATTTTATATCGAAATTATTAATTAGAGAATCTGACTCGTCTTTACGCCATTTACAAATTATCCTGAAAACTTAGCATATTCAAGGATGATGCAGATTTTCAAACTATTGTCCCCAACCAGCTTCTGTACTGAAATAAGTGCCCTCCTCATCATTAGTCAACTCGACAAGTGTGTGTGCCTTATTTTACCCAAAGCTCTATTCTAAGAAGTGATCCTTTATACCACAAAAATCCAGTTTATCCCTCGTGCATGAAATTCAGTGAGCGTGTTAAGCCGACGCACCGTGAATTGCCCTCTTTGGTAGGATAGCGGAGTCACTCACTCGCCCCATAACTCACTCACTCCTTTTTACAAAATCCACCAGTAGTGGAAAACAAATGGCCACCACACCAGGGATCCCACTTTCACCCAATCCCAACCAGGTAAACACCTACTTTCACTCAACCACCGTGGTGCATGCAATTCTTTACATCTTTCAGATTACGGAACTCTTAAATCACGAGTAATTATGGTAAAAATGTCGTTACCAACTTATTGAAAAGAAATCATGCCGATTGTAAAGAGTGCATACTAAAGCAAACATTTTAATTTAATTTAATATTACATTATGCAATGTGGAAGCTTGATCTAGCTAGCTCTGCAAATTTAAAACCAGTAATAATTTCGTCGTACAGTTTCTTAGCCATTAACTGTTTTAAAATTTTTTTTAAAAAATAAATTAAAATCAGGATTTTGTAATAATTTTTTAATAATTTTTAAATAATTTTGTAATAACTCGACGTCATTTCCTAACTTATCAGGACATTGCAAAGCTAGTAGCATTTAGATTTTTCATTGGGTTTTTTTAGATTTTTAATAATTTTACAATCTTTTAAAACAGGAATTAAGCGAATATCAAATACCAATATTTTAGCCCTGCTTATTTACTACGAAGACAGAAGTAAAAGTAAAAGAAAAATGGAAGAGATGAAATAGATTAATTGATATTTCCAATTCTTTACCTAATTCAACCCGTTTTTCAATTTATTCCCTCCCTTAACACTACTGCAGTAAGTTCTGTGTGCCGTAATTTGATTGACATTTGATTGCCATTTTGAAGGGGTCCCCTTCACTGTCAACTCTCCCCTCCCTCTCATCACTCAAACACTCCATCTCCTCGAAATCCCAGCTCCTCCACCATGGACTAAAATCATTTAAAGGCTCATCTCTCCCATCCCTACACCATCCCCTCTCAAACTCACTGAGGCTAAGCAGATCTCAAAACCACTTTAGACCAATATTTACAAATCCCGTTTTTTATCGGTGAAATAAACATCCTCATTTTTTATTTCACTCATCCATTCATGAGAAAATACTCAACTTTTTCCTAATCCGCAATTTAAATTAAATTTTTAAGTAAAATTCAATATCGATTCTGTGAGTCAACTTTAAGGTCAACAAATGGGGCACCTGGGCCCAAACTGCCGACCTCGCCACAAGAACCAATTATGGAAATGGATCTGAATTAAAGTCCACTCCATACTAATTGCACTGCCAGGGCTAGATTGATTCCTAGAAAGGCTGGGTAATTCTGACTCACTTATTCATCCATCCATTTCAATGTTCGCTGCGTTGTTTGGCTGCCTTTCAGCCGTTATTACTTTAATTACAGTAATTTCCCAGAGTGCAACCCATGCCGGGGAGTAATGTTGCCTGTTCCACTGAAATAATATCGACCCTTCCACTAACTTTTCCTCGTATCCGGGACCGTTCCACAAACTTTGGAAAGCAATCCATCATCATTTTCTCGTCGTTTCTTCATATATTTAATTCCGGGCGGAAAACAATCAATTTTCTTCACTTGCCATTCCCAGACAAGTTCGGAGTTACTATAAAAAATGCACTCTGAAAAATCGACTGAATTTGTAACCTCGTTTGATAACAAGTAAAATTGTTACCAAGTCAAAATATAGCCCATGAGTATCAAGGATATGTATGACCTAGTGGTTTAATAGATTGTCAACGTCATGTAAGTAAATTTACCAACCTGGTAAAACATTGTTAACAAAATGGTAACAATATT